CACTTCTGGGAATATACCCAGAGGAATGGAAACCATGAAGTCGAAGGTATACCTGTTCTCCAGTGTTCATTGCAGCACTCTTTACAATAGCTAAGAGTTGGAATCAGCCCAAATATCCATCATCAGATGACTGGATAAGGAAACTGTGGTATATCTACACAATGGAATACTACTCTGTTATAAAAAAGAATGAAATACTGCCATTTGCAATGACATGGATGGACCTAGAGAAAGTTATATTAAGTGAAACAAGTCAGGCAGAGAAAGAGAAATATCACATGTTCTCACTTATTTGTGAGAGCTAAAAATAAATAAATAAATACAAAAAAAAAACGGGGTTGGGGGAAGGGAAGAAGACATAACAATTACAGTTCCTTGAAGTTGATACAAGAAGCATACAGAAAGGACATTGTTGGTAGGCAGCGGGGAGAGGAGGAGGGAGGGAGGTTTTGGTAATTGGTCACAATAATCAACCACATTGTATATTGACAAAATAAAATAAAATTTGGAAGAAAAAAAGAAAAGCTGCAAAGGAGTCAGTTGTCATGAAAAAACAAAACAAATAGCCTAACTAAAAAATGGGCAAAGGAGCTAAACAGACATTTTTCAAAGGAAGCCATACAAATGGCCAACTGGTACATGAAAAAATTCTCAACATCACTAATCATCAGGGAAATGCAAATTAAAACCATAGTGAAATGTCACCTTACCCCAGTTAGACTGGCTTTAATCAAAAAGACAGAGAATAACAAATGCTGGTGAGGGTGTGGAGAGAAGTGAACACTACTGCACTGTTGGTGGGTCTGTCAATTAGTACAACCACTATGGAAAACATGGAAGTTTCTCAAACAGCTACAGATAGATCTACCATATGATCAAGCAATCCCACTTCTGGGTATAAACACAAAGGAATGGAAATCATCATGATGAAGGGATACCTGCACTCCTGTGTTCATCACACCTATGTTTACAGTAGCCAAGATATGGAACCAACCTAAATGTCCTCCGACAGATGACTGGATAAGGAATATGTGGTATATATACACCATGGAATACTACTACTCTGCCATAAAAATGAATGAAATTCTGCCATTTACAGGAACATGTATGAGCTTGTAGAAACTTATGATGAGTAAAATGAGCAAAGCATGGAGGGAAAAATACCACATGTCCTCACTCATAAGTGAGAGCTAAGAGAGGAGGAAGGAAAAACCATAGTGGTATGTTGGACTTGCAGAGGGAGAGAGCATACCTAGGGATACAAAGTCGGGGGGGGGGGGGGAAGGGGGGGGGGGGGGGGAGGAAGAGGGAGAGGGAGCTCGAGGATTAATTGGGTGGGGGAAGTGGGGTATAATTGCAATTTGTGGTAATGGGCATGCTGCCAGTATTGATCTGGCCATCACATCTTGGGCACGAGTGGTGATGGTCAGCTTTATACCGCATGAATATTCATAACCAATAAAATTTAAAAAATTTTTTTAAATACAAGTATCTTTGGAAAACAAAAGATACGTAAATAAATAAGTAATAAAGTAAAACATTAACTGTTGGTTTTTATCCTGATGAAAGTTTTGGAATGACTGAAACTTTGCAAACCATAAAGCAATAAAGTACTTGTGGGGAGTCAGAGATTAGATCATTTCTTACAGTATTACAACATAGGTAGTATAAGAATTTTAGAACCTGAAGACCTTGCTCTGTGATTAGAGCATTAAATGTTATTAACTTTCATGGTAATTTTATATGGTGCTATGTCCCTGACCTTTTTTTTTCTTTTCGGTTAAGACATGTACATGTGCAACTTTAATTCTTAATGTACCAAATTAAATCTGATTTAATGTAGCATTCCAGAACAGTTGTTGCATGGAGGACAGTATCAGGCACTTAGGGAAAACACTTGTAATCTCTGTTATGAGACCAGGTTTTCCTTTTTTTATATTTGTTTGCATTTCATTCATTTCTCTGGCTCTGAGCACTTTACACCAGAATAAACAGGAGAGGGAGGAGGAGGGAGCATCAGATCAGTGTTGCTATTGCATGTGACCTTGTGGAAGGCACTAGCAGGATGCACTTACATTCTTAGGTCTTTTCAGTCTATGGATTTAATTAGTGTTTTTGTTTCTGGTAGCATAATAAATTAAGAATTATATACACTTAGCCCTACCTCACCAAATTTAGGCATGCTTTGTGTCTGGTTGTGGGCCAGTAATTCTGATAAACTGATGATTTCCTCATCATATTATATTATCTTCACCAAATAGGAATCATCTCGAGTTGGCTTCCCTAGTGTTTCCCAGAGGAGGCTTCACTACTTGTTTCTTCCAGGTCTCAGGGTTAGTTCAGCGGTCACTGTGTGCACTGATGAGGTCCTGTGGGAGAGCAAGCAAGGCTGCTCTGAAGTCCTCTCTGAGGAGCGGCATCCAGGCAGCTGGTGGATTCATCATCAGTCCCCTGTACATGACAAAGAAATGCAGGGTCAGAATTTCCAGGGATGGAACCTAGGATATCGGAATTGTAAAATTCTCATTCATTCAGCAAATAATTACTGTTTGCCATCTGCTCAACATGATGCTAGTCACTGGGGAATTCTTGTACTTTACATTAGCTGTAACACTGGTAGCTTTTCTCTCATGCGATAGGAAATTTTATGTTTTAGGTTGGCTGTATGTAAAAAGATATCGGTACATGTTATATATATGAGGCTTAACATGAGATGTAGTTTTGAAATTTGTTACATCATCTTTTTAACATGAGAATAACACAAATGACTTCTTAGTCTTCAGGAGACCTACGAAGCCAAAAGACATGAATTCCATGGGGAACGTCAGAGGAAGGAAGCAGAAATGAAGCAGATGTTTGTGCAGCGAGTCAAGGAGAAGGAAGCAATACTGAAGGAAGCTGAGAGAGAGGCAGGTGCCCTGGTTGTAATGTGATCCACATTTACCTTTTATAGGCATCCTGTTAATTCAGAGGATTTATCTTAAGAATTTAGTCGAGATGCTTTTAGAGACCTCTTGTCCTTTAAGAAGTATCTATTTTAACACATAGTCTTTAAAAACAGACTTTTAAAAAATTCATAGTCTGAAATCAAATTAAAATTTTGGCCTTTGGGCCAACCCCATGGCTCACTTGAGAGAGTGCAGCGCTGGGAGCGCAGCAGTGCTCCCACCGCGGGTTCGGATCCTATATAGGGATGGCCGGTTCGCTCACTGGCCGAGAGCGGTGCGGGCGACACCAAGCCATGGGTTGTGATCCCCTTACTGGTCACAAAAAAGACAAAAAAAAAAAAAAAAATTTGGCCTTTAGAGCAAATATTCATCCATTAGAAGTGGTTTACCAAAGATCCGTAATGGTCTAGGTTACTAAGAAGTGTTTAAAATATCTTAACCCTGAACCATAAGGCTTTTTTGAGAGTTGCTAGAGTGGTTGTTTGCCATGAAATGGGTGACTAGAAGCTGTGAAGTAGCTTTTCTTCATGTTTGAACTTAGGCTTTCTGGATACGTTTATACTTTCCTTGAAGTCTATGCTTAAAAGCTTAGTTTCTTCAGTCGTAATATTTAAGATTAGCAAAATTCCTTCATATTTTGAAATCTTTATATATTTAAAGATTTTTATAGGCACTAGAAAATTCTAAGTGTGACACAGCTGGAAAGTAAATTTGTGTTCACTGTTGAACTTCTGGAATATTCTCATAGTGAGCTGAAACGGAAGGGCTGGTGAAGGAGGACATCCAGTTAGCAATCATCACTCCATGACACCAGATTAATTGAAGGACTGAGGGAGAGCGTATCATCTTAATTAGGATGGTTTCAGAGAGAAATGAGGCTTATTAATAAGTATACTAGAACAACACATAAGTGGAAGCCCATTCTTTTCTAAGCAAACTGGTCATTCAGTGCTTGGCTGCTAACATTTTAAAGCTATTTGTATAAATAAAATACTGGCAGTCACTTATAAAAATATATCACCCAAAACTTATTTAATTTTTTATTAACAGACGTTGTTATTTAAAATATCCTTGCCAATATTGTGAAAAGAATACCCCTTAGTTTATCTTTTGTAAAAATCTCGATTTTCATACATAGTTAGCTTAAAATGCTGATAATAGTATGTGAACATTTGCTAACTAGAATAGGGAGATGCACAGATGGTATCTCCAAATATTGTTGACATATTATCCTCTCTGTACCATTACTGACATTCTAGATGAACTAATGAGGCATGTCGTGTATGACACATAGATTTTCCATATTCCCTCCCCCACCATAAGAAAAAATAGATAGTTTAGATTTACCCCTGAAAGTATATAATCACCATAAGTTATTACTCCTTCCCAATTTTATATGTAAGTCTATTTCTTGGTATGATTTTATTATTTAATATTTATGCCCGTCCTATTTTCAAAAAGTATTCTATATAATTTACAATTAAAAAAAAGATACTACATTACACCATGACCATGAGGAGAACAGGAGCCTTGCACTCCAAGGCGAGGAGGAGGGGCTTACACAGAGGGGCCGCTGAGCCTTGGCTCAGGGAGCTTCTAGGTGAGCACTAGACGGGGCTTGACTTCTGGGCAGGCAAGGCCCAAAGGGGCCGCTGTGAGGCACAGAGCTTGAAATTGTCTTCTGATCCAACAGGAGAGTTTTCTCTAGCATTCATTTCTAATTTCTAGAAATTGATACTGCTAAAAGGATTATTGAGTTCTAGAATGTATGAAGTACTTGGAAGTAGTGTTTACAAAAGATACAGCGTTGTACAGTAGTCCCCCATTACCTGTGGTTTCAGTTACCTGAGGTCAACCACAGTCTGAAAATATTACATGTAGTAAAGATATTTTGAGAGAGACAGTGCACATATTTGCATAACTTTTATTACAGCATACTGTTATAACTAGGTTTATTTTATTAGTTATTGTTGTTCATCTCTTAATGTGCCTAATTTATAAATTAAACTTTATCATAGGTAGATATGTACAGGAAAAACATAGTACAGTATATGTAGGGCTCAGTACTAGCCACGGTTTCAGGCGTCCACTGGCGGTCTTGGAACGTGTTCTCTGTGGATGAGGGGGGACGACTTTAATCTTAAAAGAATTGGTGACTAATTATCAACAGCACAAAAGACCCCTTTTTAAATTTTTTGAGTATTTGAAAATATCTTTGAATTAAATGCCTGTTGTAGTGAGTAGTGTAACCATGAGTAAGTGTTTGCTGTATATGGAATAGATTGTTGCTATCAGAAGCTGCACACTCCACATAATGCGAGTAACAGTCATATCCACACCTCTCCCCCGCCTTTTTAAAAACGTTTTCCTATCTGTAGTTTTCCTGTAACTTTAGTCAACCTCATAAATGATGTATGAAGTACTCTGTAACCTCTTAAGGTATTTTAGTATGCATGTAAAGTATACACCCTCCACTGAAGGAATCAGATATGTGTTCAGGTAATGTAAGTCTGCCCCATGCGCTCCCTTTTCAAGCTTTCCTTCCACCCTGTTCCTCTCCCAGATTGTAGGGATGCACACGCGCTCAGACAGCTGTGCCTCTCTTTATTTATGCCACTGATTTGAATGACAACTAGGGAAGGCCCATCCTTTAAACACACACATACTCGCACATCATTTTTTAAAGCCAGGAACCATTTAAATAAGCAAATACTAAAGGAGCTGATGCTTCTGAAAAGTCATCCTCTTGAATAAAAGAATCTTAGGTTAGAAGGGCCTTATCGTCATCACCTATTTTAACCTTCTCTTCCTTTGAGTACTTCTCCTATCTGAGGCTCACTGGCTCACAGGACAACCTATTCCATATTCTCAACATATCATTTTTAGTAGGCTGGAGTTTACTTCTCTCTGGTTTCTATCTGCAGCCCCGAGTTTTAGTAAAATATTTCCCCAATTATTATATGCCGTTTTTTTCTAGATACCAGGTCCTACTTTTCCTGTGAATGCTAGGTTGCTACCCAGAGCTGAAAGTAATTAATCTCAGGTTTATCTAACCAGACCAAAAGACCAAAAAAAAAGTTACTTTTTAAACCCACATTGTAACAACATTGTGCTTGTGTTGTTGGCAGGCAACAACAGCTAATTCATATGGAGCCCCTTCAGGTCCCTAGATTTTTTTTTCTTTTTTCTTTTTTCTTTTTTGAGTTAAATCACAACGAAACCAGATCCACCTACATTCTTCCTTTTACCTTGACTCAGAACTTTTAGCGGAATTTCACATACATTTTATTTCATTACTAGTTCTCCCACATTTTTTAACATTCTTTTATGAGCAGCATTGGTTGCTGTGCTAGGTGCTGGGGGTATAAAGACGAAAAGACATAGCTCCTGAGCAATTCTCAAGGGCACATGACTGATAAATCACCCCACAACGTGGTGGCAAGGGCTTCATTCATGGCCTTGATGGAGCATAGCACACCGGGCCATCACACCCAGGGCAGCAGTTGGGGAGAGCTGGACTTCATGGTTTTTGTTAATAACAGTAACTAATATTTATTGAGTGCTTACGCTGTGCCAGACATCATGGTAAAAATGTTAAATAGATTTTCTTATCCCCTGATAGCCCAGTTTTTTTAAAGCTTCCTTTTTATCTATTAGTTTCTCAGAGTTTTATGTCTCTAATAGCTTTTAGAAAATTTGTCTCCTATGATCCATACAGGACATTCCTTAAATTGTGGAACAAAATAAAGTCAAACACAGGACTACCTCTAAGTTGACATTCAAGGTGACATTGTTGCCTTCATATGGTGTAACAAGGTGATTTTCAAGCCCAAAGAAGATTAAAATTTACTGAGTCGTGTTCTTTAAGTGCATTCCTTTCACATGTCTGCTTTTCTCAATTAACAAGGGAAATCTCATGTTGTAATGTTATAAACTTTTGCAAAATTCATTTTAATGGTTGTGTAGAAGAATAACCCTCATAGGGTCTTAGTTTGAATGGATTAAAAAAAGAAGAATAAACAGAAGTTTGTTTAACATGTGTATTTCAAATATACATGAGAGATACCCAGGACTGAGTAGTTCTCAACAGCTGGCTTTGGAATTCCAGCTTATATAACGTCTTCAACAAAGAACGGTACATTTTCAGAGAAGTGACAAGACAAAGAAAGAGGACTTTGGGTCTGTAGGAGTGGCAACTTGGGACAAAGCAAGTAACTGGCAGATGAAGGCTGTTAGTAGATGCAGATTCCTCTGGTACTACTTCCAGACCCAGGAAGGTCTAAAGTTGTCTTCAGTTGTTAACCTGTACTCTCCCTGGTGGGGGGAGAGAAGCAGAATACATCTTGTCATTGTACGTCTGTGTCCTCCTTTTAGGCAGATGGAGGGCAAAGAGACTTCCTGCATCTGTTTCTTGACTCTCTCTGCTCAACAGTCCTCCGTATTTTGAGGTGACATGTTTTGGTCTCCAACAGCTACATTGAGCGTTATTAGCATAAGTGTATTTTTTTTACTTTATTTCTATTGGATACTTAGTCTGTTTGTTGGTTTTTTCCCCATTATAGTATAAATTCTACAGTGATTATTTTTATATGTAAAGTTCTCTGAAATTAGGATTTCTTTATTTAATATAGACTTCAAGAAATCGAATGACTGTGGAAAAATATGATACAGTTTTAGGTTCTTGACCTAAACTGACAATTGACACTTGCTTTCTAGTATGGTTTACCAGTACAATTTTCAATAACTTTAACTACACATCATCTTTATTTAGAAAATAGGGTTTTGTTTTGTTTTTTGTTTCCAAATGATAATTTCCTTCTGTACTTTGTGTCCCTTATTTTTATTGAGCATGGATTTGAGAAACTTTATTTAAGAGGCTTTATGGAGAAAATGTAAAGCAAGAAAATGAAAACTCTAGGAAAGGTTAAATGTTTTAAAAACTGAGTTCTGTTCTTGAGCCTATAGTTTTTATTACATTTGATTCAAGCACTTTTTGCAATTTTATTTGTAAATGTTTACTTGAAGCATGAACTTTTGAGACTTTAGAAGATTTTATAGATTATTGTGTAGGTTGGTTTGCCTTTGCGTCTCTGAGCCGAGAGGATTCCTGGGCATGTGCTGCCACCCTGTGTCAGTAGTGGGAACTGCATTTTTGTTTCCAGCTGCAGGCCAAATTTGAGCATCTTAAAAAAGTTCACCAAGAAGAGAGAATGAAAATTGACGAAAAGAGAAAATGTTTGGAAGAAGAAATAATCACTTTCTCTAAAAAGAAAGCTACCTCCGAGATATTCCATAACCCATCCTTTATGGCATCAGGTACCCACCTGAAGAAGGACAAGGACCGTAAGAAGTAAGAGGCTCCAACATTCTTGCCCCTGGTAGCCTTACCCCTCACTTTCTGTCTCGCTACCCTGCTTGATCTTCCTAGCATTTCTCACCCTGTTTACTTACTCCTTGTCTACCTCTGCCTCCTGCCACTAAAATGTCAGTTCCTTGAGAGCAGAGACCTTGTCTCTCTTGTTCACGGCTGTGTTCCCAGCACCTAAAACCGCACCTGGCACATACTGGGTGCTCAGTGAATATATGCCAGAATGAATGCATGAGTGAACAAATAAAAATACATTGCAGTATAAAAGGGGTCAGTTAGCTGGGGAAGGAACACTGGCTGCTCTTATTTCATAGCCCAGTCATGGCTCTAGAACACAGCTAATGACTGCTGACCTACCATGAGTTATTTTGAATTTCTTGTCTAAATGGAAGCTATGCACTTTATTGGGGACATGAAATAGTATTTTATAAAAAAACTTATACTTAGGCTCACTTTATTAACCAATTCTACTGATATTGATTTTATGAGAATTTTTATTTTAATAAGGGATCAAGGCTATCGAGTCGAACTCCTGTGCTTTGATGTCAGAATTTGTGAAATCAATGGTGGACGTAAAGATGCAGAGGAAGGTAGAGAGGGCCACAGTTCAAGGGAGTGGCCATGAGTAGCATTTGGATGACAATCTCAAGGCTTGTAGGTTTTGGGTATGTGTGAAAGTTACCAAAGTTTTAGAAAATAAGTTTTGGTTTTTTTTCCTTTATGATAATTTCCTTGTGTACTTTGTGTCCCTCATTTTATTTCTCCCACTTAAAATGTCCTTGTCAGTTTACCTATTTGACTGTTGTTGAAATCCATCATGACGTACTCTGTGCAGAATGCTCCTTTATGGGCCTTTGCCTCAGTTTACTCCAACTCCCCCTGCTTTAACAACATCAGTCCCTCCTGTGTTCCCCACAGAGCAACACTTCTGGTTTAATTTTCTCACTGCTTCTATTTCAGACCCAGCATTTTCAGAATATTGTAACTCATCTTCAGAATAGTTAGGAAATATAACCTTGGCCCTTCTTGGCTTTTCATTTTTAAATATGGAGAAGTAAATCTGCAGGATTTTGGTGGATTTAATTAGCCTGTAGATTTTATAGTTTTTTGGGAAAAAGAAGGAATTCTCAGGTACAGTCTTTTAATGTAAGCTCTACCAGGGCCCAGGTCTTTATTTTGCTCACTCATGTACCATCCCAGGGCCTAGAGCCTGTGCATAGTAGGCATGCAGCTTTCTGCTGAGAAAATGCTATATAGATAGCTGTATTTCACTCAAGCATGGAGTTTCAAAAGATAAACTATAAAGATAATTGATTACTGTGTTCAACATGCTTTGAATTATAAAGCTGAGGGACCTTTGTCCTTCTTATCCTTTCATCTTAATCCAGCGTTGCTAAAATTAGATTCCCCCAATTTTTTAGTTTCAAAAGATAAACTATAAAGATAATTGATTACTGTGTTCAACATGCTTTGAATTATAAAGCTGAGGGACCTTTGTCCTTCTTGTCCTTTCATCTTAATCCAGCGTTGCTAAAATTAGATTCCCCCAATTTTTTTCCGTACATGAAAGGCAATTTACATTTACCTTATAAAAATTGTCACCCTGCTCCACTCGACAACCATGCTGTTATTTGCAAAATCAGGGCCAAGCTCTCAGTTTTTTGACAACTAAGAATTTATCCTCAAAAACCTATGGTTTGGTTTTTTTTTTTCAGGGCCAAGCTCTCAGTTTTTTGACAACTAAGAATTTATCCTCAAAAACCTATGGTTTGGTGTTTTTTGTTTGTTTTGTCTTTTTCAAAGTCCCATAGCTGAATGAGGGGTCTTCAAAAAGTTAATGGAAAGATTCACATTATCTTCTAATTCCATTTTCCACAAACTTTTTGAAGTACCCTTCTATATCCTATAATATATTAAATATGTATTTGCTCTTTCTGTGAAAGTTTTATAAAACTAATGACTCTAGTAATTTTTACTTCCTGTATGTTTTTTTATTGTACCAATCAAAAGGTTTTTTCTCTTTCCAGCTCCAACTATTTGTAAAACAGAAGTTCCAGAGCACAGAAAGTCATCACAAGCAAAAGTTATTAAAAAGTTAGAAGTATGCTTTGCTTTTTCTTACTGTTCTTGTTTTATCACTTATTCTGTATCTGGCAAATGGCCACAGTTACTGATATTTATGGAAAAATACTTTCAAGTATAAGGTCAATACATAAACTGGAGTGGATGATGTTACTTATATATTCACTATTGTTAGGAATTTTTAAGTTGCTGTTTTTGTGATGAACCTAGATCTTTACTCCTGCTGCCATATTATTGTCACTTTGTAGCACTTTGTACCAAAGAGCAAAGTCTAAATGCTATTGGAAATACAGAATCTATTCATATTATAGCTATATGATTGCATTTATATTCCACGATGAACCTTTTTTTATACATACTAAAGGAAGAATTGGGTGAATATGTTTTGGAATTTATTAGAGCGCTAAAACTCTAACATCTTAATAGTTATATAGAACTTTTTAATTTTTGATAGAATTACCCAATTGATAATATGATTCTAACTAAGCTTTTGTGTCAAATTATATATAGCGTGATAACCTTTCGTGCTTCAGTTTGCCTCTTTGTAGTTGATAAAAAAAATCCAGGTATCGAAACACCTTTTTCTAGTGATAAAGTACTCTTTAACCTGGGTGTATCACACTATTTAGGATGTACTTGTTATCTAAAACTCTGTTTTCCAGGGGAAAAATAATAAGGTTGAGTTGTTTTATTAAAAATATTTTATAAGAAAATAACTATGAACATCTGAATATTAAAGACACAAAAATTCAGATAATTCATATTTCCAGCGATATTTGCATTCAGTGCCTTCGTAGTATTCTCAAAACATTTTAATGGTTTCTAGCTTTTTTATAACAGTCATAGGTATATAAATTTTTACTTTTTGTACTTGAATGTTCTAAATAAAACTGACTCTTAACTCTTGACAAATAAAATATATCTACATATTTACCAAAAGGTGTTTAAGTTACTTTAACTTTTTTGCAAAGTGTCATCTTAAGAAACATTTTATCAAAATTAGTCATTTAATTATATAATTGGAATATTTTAAGACACCAAGGTATTTTACCAGTATTTTCAGACAGCAAAATCTTTTTACTTAGTCTGTGTCAGATCCTGAGCAGTGTATTTTTCCATGGAGTTTTCTAAGTTGTAAATGAAACCTTTCTTTTCATAACACAGTTTATCTGAACACACACTTTAAATTCCATTTTTGCATTTTAAACTTACAAGTGTGTCTCGTCCTTTTAAAACTTTAATAAATTAACTTGTGTCACAGAATAAGCTCTGAAGTTTTTCTCAAGGTCAGCGATGCCCAGGTTCTGGTAGGTGGGGAGCCCCTGAGGGCAGGTGGCCCTGTGCTCTGCGCTGCTGGAGCCACATGCTCATCCGAGGAGCTCAGCGACGTTTATGAGTGCTTGTTATAGGTAGCCATGTTAGACCAGGCTGCATGTAAAGCAGTTTTCTTTTAAGTGCCACGTGGGTTGTTGGCATGGTAAACAAAGCCATCCAAGTTTCTAGTTGAAAAGAACTTAACGGAAACCTGCCTTAGACTCTGGACTCCTCAGGAAGGCGGTCATTTTGTACTGTGATGAGTGCGGTGAGAGAGTCTCCTGCTTCAACCACATGCCAATTTTTAACTTATTTTGTGTATTTGGGATTCTGTATAAGATTTTATTTTAAAAGAGTTGCACTTCAAAAAAATTTAAAAACAATTTCACTATAAAGTTCAAGTTCTTAATATATTACAAAGCTAATTTATTCTCTGCTTTCTAACAAGGTTAGAAAATGAGTTGTTATCCTCTAATGCTTAAATTAATAAATCTGGCAGCAAAATAAAGCTAGTCATGTTTTGTTTAAAATTTCTTCCCATTGAAAATGTGAAACAGAATTGCCTCCAATAGCCATTAATCTTTGTACATACTCCTCAGACTTAAAGCTCTTTCACATAGACTGTGATTTGAGTTTCAAAGCAACACAAAGGAAAAAGCATTACAGGGATTGCTGTTATCCCTGTTTTGTAGATGAACTCAGAGCCCCATTTTTCCTGTTGGGCTAGGAAATGGGGGCACACAGATGGTTCAGGCTATCCAGACCAGTATGGACAAGTGAGCTGATAAATACATAGGGTACTCTCGAAAGGGTGCCTGCCTCTACCCACAGAACACAAGGCATCCAGGATGTGACTGTATTGTGAAAGATTGGGAGCAATTTGTCCGATGTATGAAGGGAAAAAGGCAATGCAGGTACAAGGAACAGCATGTTTCAATGAAACCTTGTGTACTCTGGAAAGTAGCTAAACATGGTTAGAAAGTGTAGGGGCAGAGTGGGTAACAGGTAAGCTGAAGGTCTTGGAAGGAGGTAGGGACCAGATCAGGGAAGAGATTATAAACCCATTCTGGTAGGTAGTAGGAGCCATTGAAAGATCTGACCTCCTGAGTTCAGGTGTTCCTTCAGAGTTTACGGGAAAGGTACTGGGAGGCGGAGGGGAAGCTAGCCCAGTGCCAGGCCAGCTCTTCTAGTCATTACCGTGGAGGCCAGTAGCTTCTGACACTGGGTATACAACAGAGTCACTTAAAGAGTGTTTAAAAAAATACCAATGTAGAAAGGAATATATAGCAATGAAAAATAGTAGCTGTGTGGGTAAACTGAAATGAATAATGACTGTATAAAACAATTACAATATATTGCAGAGCTGAAAATATAGAGAGAATTAATATATAAGACAATTGTAGCATAAAGCAGGGGGTATAGATTGCGTGATCTTAGGTTCTTGCATTAAATGGAAAGAGGGTAAAAGTCCTTGTCAACCAAGCAAGGCATGTATGCATGTCCTGATCTCTAGGGTAACCATTAAACAAAGGCTAATAAAAGGAAAAGTGGTCTAACAAAAACCAATAATTCTGAAGAAAGAGGAAATAGAGCGGGTATGACAAACAGAAAGCACATAACGATAGGGTAGATTCGGACCCAAATATATCAGTAATTACATGGATACAAGTTCTAATTAATTTTTTTAGATAAAAATGTTTAAAAACAGCTATATGCAGTTTACAAGAGATCAGTCTAAAACTTTGTCTTTATAGGTAGGGAAAGGTTAAAAGAAGATAGGAAAAGATACATCATGCAAACTCAATCCAAAGCTAATATGCAGCTATATTTTCTATCTATTCAGCATCTATTAGGGGAACTTCTGTGCAGAGTGCTGCAGCAAATCTTCCAGATGGACAGTGAGAGAAAAGGATGTTATACATAAGTACGTCCACAGTGAGGGGCTCAGGATGTGGAGTTTGTGTGATGGTTTGCAGAGTGCTGCAGCAAATCTTCCAGATGGACAGTGAGAGAAAAGGATGTTATACATAAGTAGGTCCACAGTGAGGGGCTCAGGATGTGGAGTTTGTGTGATGGTTTAAGAAATTTGGCTCAAGGGCCGGCCCGGTGGCGCACTGGATAGTGCGCCGCTTGGGAAGCGCGGCAGCGAAAGAAATTTGGCTCAAGGCCAGGGACAGTTCCTTTGTGTTGTGGACAATGACCTAACACCTTGATCAGTGCCTGGGAATGTTCAAGGTTACTGTTTGGGTTCAAGCCTGCTGGGAAAAACCTGCAGCTGGCCAGGTCACAGAGTGGTCAAAGCACTGTGATTTTTGGTCAGGACACAGAAAAAAGAAGGGAGGGGGAGACTGGGAACCAGGCACCTTCATTTGTGGGTTGTGGAGATTAGGATCTTTAGGGGAACTTGTTCCGCTTAGCATGCCGTTCAACACAGCAATCCCAGTCCTAGAAATGTACTCAGGAGAATTGAAAGCATATGCCCCTACAAAGACCTGTTTAGATGTTTATAGCAGCTTTTTTCATAATCTGCCACAAAACCCAGAACAACCCAATGTCCATCGGTTGGTGAATACATATACCAGTTGTGGTTCGTCCATCCATATAATGAAAACAAACCATTGATCGTCCAAAACCATGGGCAAATACCAAAGGTATTATACTAAGTCAAGCAAAAAGCTACATACTATATGACTCCATTCATGTGAGATAGAAAATCGGCTGTGGTTGCCAGTCCTGCAGGGTTGACTTCAAAGTTCACAGTGAAAGCTTTTGGAGTGGTGGAAATTTTCCATGTCTTTGTGGTGGTGGTGGTTACATGGCCGCGTACATCTGTAAAATCTTGTACAACTGTATACCTAAGAGTTGCTGCTTGTATGTAAGGTAGAACATACATATAGTAAACCTGCTTGTATGTGAGGTAGAACATACATATAGTAAACCTGCTTGTATGTGAGGTAGAACATGCATATAGTAAACCTGCTTGTATGTGAGGTAGAACATACATATAGTAAAACTGACTTATTAATTAAAAAGTAGAAGTCAAAATGTAAAGTAGAAATTAAAGAAAAGGACATCACTACAGATGTGGAAGACATTAAAACCTTGTCATTAAACTTGATAATACAGAAGAAATGACGTTTGTTTGAAAAATTAACTTAGGTAACAATTAGTAGAAAATGTCATAGCAAAAGACAGTACATAATTAAAATCCCCATAAAGGTTAGGCTGGGATGACTTCACTGAGGAATCCTGTGAGATATTTAGAGAGGAAAGCCAGTCTTTCCCAAAGTCTCTCTGTGCTAGGTGAATAATGCCCCATGCTCCATAGACATGCACAGACTTATCCCTAGACCTGTGAATATGTTACTTTACATGGCAAGAGGAACTTTGCAGGCCTTGAGATGGGGAGGTGACCCTGGACTGTCGAAGTGGGCCTTTTCTAATGGCTTGGGTCCTTGAAAGCTGAGAGCCTTCCCAGCTGTGAGCGGAAGGAGGGAGATGTAACAGGAAGCAGGGTCAGAGACGTATGGAGGGAGATGTATGTAACAGGAAGCAGGGTCAGAGAGACAGCACTGCTGGCTTGAGAGCCAGGGAGTAGGCAGCCTCTGCAAGCTGGAAAAGGCAAAGAAAGGGATTCTCAGAGCCTCCAGAAGGAATGCAGCCCTGCTGACCCCTTGACTTTAGCTCGATGAGGCCTGAGTCAGACATCTGACCTCCAGAACCATTGGATAAATCTATCGCTTTAAGCCACTACATATTAGATTTGCGGGAGGACCACTTAAGATGGCGCCACCCAGAGATACTCAAAATGGTGGTCCCACCCTACAGGATTCCCTGCAAAATAAAAAGACAGAGGAACTCATAACCGCAACAGCAGTTTAGTCTATGCCACTGGTCCCCTCTGAAACCCTACTTTACATACTAAGGGAACCAATAATGGTAAACCTAAAAATCACCTAATTAACATAAGGCCTCAACAACTCCCATTGGATATTTCATTTAACTCCTCATTAACGTATGCTCTGGCCAATCAGAACAACACAACTCTCCACAAGAAGAAATATAAGCCCAGCCCTGAGGGCAGGGGACGGGGGCAAGGCTATGTCCTGTACCTACGCCTCTGCTGTGTGGTCTGCCTAATTAACATAAGGCCTCAACAACTCCCATTGGATATTTCATTTAACTCCTCATTAACGTAAGCTCTGGCCAATCAGAACAACACAACTCTCCACAAGAAGAAATATAAGCCCAGACCCCGAGGGCAGGGGACGGGGGCAAGGCTATGTCCTGTACCTACGCCTCTGCTGTGTGGTCTGTGCCAATAAACTCCTTCTAGCCTGATTTCTCATCTTGGTACCAATTCTTTCCGAACCTTTCACTACGTTTGTTGTAATTTGTTACAGCAGCAATAGAAAACTAATGCATTCCCCAAGAATAGGTAAAAGAAATATTCCTGATCTCATTTTATGAGGCCAGTATGACTCTCATCTCAAAGCCTGATAAAGACATTTGAGAAAGGATAATTGTAGCATGATCTCACTCATGAACATAGATGCAAACACCCTAAACAAAATACAAACTGAACCCAGGGTTACGTAAAAAGGATTGTACCTTGTGTCCATGTCGGTTTATTCCAGGAATGCAAGATTGTTTTAGCATTAAAAAATTAATGAATGTAATTCATAGCATGAGCATTAAGGAAAAATCATGTGGTCATGCATGTAGATTCAGTAAATACAGATAAAATTTAGCATCTTTTCAAGATTTAAAAAACTGACAAGATAAACCTCCTACTGAATAGAAGGAAACTTTCTTATTCTTTTAGAAATTAATGAATGTAATTCATAGCATGAGCATTAAGGAAAAATCATGTGGTCATGCATGTAGGTTCAGTAAATATAGATAAAATTTAGCATCTTTTCAAGATTTAAAAAACTGACAAGATAAACCTCCTACTGAATAGAAGGAAACTTTCTTATTCTTTTAAAGGATATCAACCAAAAAACCCAATAGCAAGCATCCTACTTGGTGGTGAAATATTGAAAGCCTTCTCCTTTGGGAACAAGCCAAGGATGGCTGTTATCATCCCGTTCCACTCAATGTTTTGCTGGAGGTTGTAGCCAACACAGAAATGCAAAAAAAAAAAAAAAAAAAAAAGATGGATTGGAAAGGAAATGAAATTCAGTATTCACAATTGGTATGGTTGTGTTTGTTGTAAATCCAAATGTAGCAATAAAGTATTAAAAGCAATAAATAAAAGGTGTGAGATACAACTGGCTGCCTAAGAGTTTAAGAATAATGGTCTGTGGCTCATACAGGACTCAGATGCCTAAAGTTTAAAAGCACCTTATACTACTCCCTGTGCAAAGAATCTCTTCCCCCTAAATTTGTTGCAACTGCTCCCACAGCCTTCAGGCTATGCTAACATGTACTGGTTTGTGCTCAGGCTCCTGCCGCCACATGCCTCCGCTAACTGTAGTCCAATGTCAAGGCTCACCTTCAAGGCCC